ACTGTCCCTGTCCCTCTGCCTGCAGGTTGTGCCTTTGTGAAGTACAGCAGCCATGCCGAGGCACAAGCCGCCATCAGCAGCCTGCACGGCAGCCAGACCATGCCGGTAAGCGCTGCCCGCGCTGTCCCCTAATCCAATCACCGGCTAATTTGATCGGTCTAATTGGATCACAATCCCGGTGTGTTGCCGGGATCGCCTAGGGTTCATCCCTGCCGCATGCCGGGGGTGGGCATGCGGGGCTGTGGGAGAAAGGTGTGGTTTAATTAACAACGAAGGTCAACACCGCAGATGAGGGGGAAAGGAAACAGCGGTCAGGGAGCAGCTGCCGGGAGGGAATAGGGCTGTAATTAAACCCCGCATTGATTGCTGCGTGCTGCGGCCAGCCCAGGCGGCATCCCCAGGGTGCTGTGGCTGCGGGGTGTCCCTGTGCTGGGGTTGCCGTGGGTGACGTGGTGGGGATGTGGTCGCGGCCCCGCTCAGCCCTGCCTTGCTGTGCCGCAGGGCGCCTCATCCAGCCTGGTGGTGAAATTTGCGGACACGGACAAGGAGAGGACCCTGAGGCGGATGCACCAGATGGCGGGGCAGCTGGGCATCTTCAACCCCATGACCATCCAGTTCGGCGCCTACGGGGCCTACACACAGGCGGTACGGGGCCTCTTGGGACAGAACCTGATTTTTGGGGGGAATTCGCCAGAACGTGCTGATCTACACTCCTCGCTCCTTTTTTCCTCTGTGCCTCACTCGCTTTTCCCTCTCTCCTCGGCTGTCCTCTGTTAGATCATGCAGCAGCAGGCGGCCCTGATGGCAGCGGCACAGGGGACCTGCCTGAACCCCATGGCCGCCATCGCCGCCGCTCAGATGCAGCAGATGGCCGCCTTCAACGTCAGCGGGCTGGTGGCCGCCCCCCTCACCCCCTCTTCAGGTAGGACCACCCTCCCTCCGGCCGCCCCCTCGGTGGCCGTGGGGCCGCAGCGGCGCTGAGCCGCCCTCCGTCCTCTCGCAGGTACCAGCACCCCGCCTGGCATCAGCACGGCGCCCGTGCCCAGCATCGCCACACCTATTGGCGTGAATGGCTTCAGCCCGCTGCCGCCGCAGACCAACGGGCAGCCCGCCTCCGAGACCATCTACACCAACGGCATCCACCCCTACCCAGGTAGTGCCCCGCGGGGCTCAGGCACGTTCCCAGCAAGTGCCGGGAGCCGTCCTTGCTTTCCCTTTGCTTACTCTCTTCCTTCTCCCTTTTTTCTTCCTAGCTCAAAGCCCCACAGTGGCAGATCCCCTCCAGCAAGCCTACGCGGGCATGCAGCACTATGCAGGTCTCACACTGGGCTTTGCACTTCTTCATCTCTCCCCTCTCTGCTCTTTGCGGGTTGGGAGTGAACTGGGCTCACGTTACTGTGTTTGATGCAAGTGTGAGGTGTGGGAGCTGTGGGGCAGTGATGGGGGCGATTCAGATTCAGAGCATAGTCCCCTAATCCCATCCACTGCGTTCCTATTGCCCTCACGCTGGTGCTCTGGCAGATTTTGGAGACAGGCTGGAGGAAAGTTAATTAGGAGCACTGGTGATTGTTTCCAAATTTTCACCGGAAAACCAAGTTCTTGACCCCTGGTCATTGATAAAAATCAAGTGAATGTGCTGCTTTCTTCCTCAGTAATGGCACATTCCTGGTGCTCACAGCATCTCCCTTGGGAGAGCCATTCCCATGTCCATCACCATGGGAGCAAACACCTCAAAAAGAGTTTTAAACCCCAATTGCACCATCCCACTGTGCCAACCCTCTGCTTCCTGATAGAAGGTGGTTGGGAGAGACGAGGCTTTGGAAAGCAGCTACCAGAGCGGTGCCCATGGGTGCTTGAACCTCTGTGCCACCAAACCCAGCATTCTGGGGATGCGTAGCAGCAGGAGATGTCCCTGTGGGGGCCAGTCCCCATCCTGCGTCGGGGTTTCAGTGCCACATTCTCTGTTCCAGCAGCATATCCCACTGCCTACGCACCCATCAGCCAAGCCTTCCCTCAGCAAGCGCCCATCATCCCGCAGCAGCAGCGAGAAGGTAAGGGGGGCATCCTGCGCTCCGCGCGCTGCCGGTGGCCCCCCGCCTGGCAGCTGACGTGTGGCCCTGTCCTTTGTGTGTCACCCAGGTCCCGAGGGCTGTAACCTGTTTATTTATCACCTGCCCCAGGAGTTCGGGGATGCGGAGCTCACACAGATGTTCTTGCCTTTTGGCAATGTCATCTCTGCCAAAGTTTTTGTGGATCGTGCTACCAACCAGAGCAAGTGCTTTGGTAAGTTGTTGTGTGAGCAAAGCCCAGAGCGGCGTGGTGGCTGTCAGTGTGGGGCTGAAGGACCACACCGTGTGGGGACAGAAGGATGTACCCTCCTGCTGCCACATTCCTTGTGCTGTTGACGCATCGCCTCAGTGGCCACAGATCTCATCCTCCAGTGTCCCTGCAAAGCCATGTCCTTTGGTGTCCCCACTGTCACCTCACCGTCCCCACAGACCTGCTCACCTTGACATCCCCACAGATGTCACCACCTTGTGTCTCTGGGACTTCGGTCACCTCAGATTCCCTGTGGACCGCATGTGGGCCTTATCACTGCAGTGTCCCCACCAATCCCATCACCCCAGTGTCCCTCTAGATCCTCTCCCCCAGAGTCCCCACGGATCCCATCACCTCAGTGTCCCCACAAACCTCGTGTTCCTGAAGGTGCCATCACCCAGTGCCATGCAGCCCCACATTCCAGAGGCCGTTCCTGGGCTGAGTGAGCACCCGTGGGGAACGTGGGGCCCATGGTGAAGTTATGCCATGACCCTGTTGAAGTCAAGCAGCTCAGTGTGGCATTGACAGCGACAAACCCTGTGTCACCCTGTTCCTCACCCCCAGGTTTTGTCAGTTTTGACAATCCGACCAGCGCTCAGGCAGCCATTCAGGCCATGAACGGCTTCCAGATCGGCATGAAGAGACTAAAAGTCCAGCTAAAGCGGCCGAAAGATGCCAACAGACCCTACTGACCCCTGGCACCCTGGCCCCGCAGAGAGGTACGAAGGCACCTGGCAGCGTCACAGGCCTGTTTATCTTGGGATAAAGAGCGGCTGTTTTGGTTAAAACCATGCTGATGTGGGATCTCGTGGGTCAGCAGTTGCCTGGATCGCTCACGGCACGTTTGCTGTCTTGCAGGTCGGGCGTCCCGCGGTGTCTGCCGACTTCCCCCTTCCCCAAGTGCAGTATCCAAACCCGTAACTCTCTTTCTTTGCAACATATCCCGGAGGAGGAGGAAGGAGAAGAGGAAGAGTTTTTGGAGAGAAGAAAAAAAAAAAAAAAAAAAAAAAAAAAAAAGCGAAGAAGAGAGCCATTCTGGTCGTAGCTTTTCTATTTCTTTTTTGATTATTTTTTCCAACCGGTCTTGTTTGTTTCTTAACGGGAACGAGAGAGCGAGGAAGGCAGGAAGGAGGAGAGCGACGCGGCGTTGGGGCTGAGATTTGCTGCCGGGAGAGGACTGAGGCCCGGGCAGCCGGGATGTGAGCTACCTTTTATAAGCACTCATTTGCTGCTACAAATTTCCCAAGAGGAATGAGGAAAAGAGGCTCCGGATGGATTATAAACCAAAGCCAGCGGGACGAGACCGGCCTCGGGCGATTCACCTGGAGGATGCTTGTTTGGAAAGGGAAATCTTGGTGGTTTTTTCCCACGTCTGGCTGGGAAAAAGAGGGAAGAAAAAGGATAAGAGGATGTTGGACTTATAGAAGATATATATAAATAAGTATATATATATATATATCCCATGGAGCAGGGCAGCGGGACACGCGCTTCCCCCTGCTTGTCACTGGCACAGGGACATAGGATTACTTGTTTCAGAGTCATATCATTCCTTAGAGTTTAGGGACCAAAGGACTATTGCTTTTTTAAATATATATATAAATAAATTAATTTAAAACACACACACACACACACACACACAAAAAAAAAAACTTAAAAAACAGGAAGAAAAAAAATGTATGAAACGCCTCGGGCGCATGAGCTGCGAGCGGCGCCGGGAGGAGCACGGCTCAAGGGCTCGGTGTGGGGGGCAGTTTGTGGCCAAGCGCCGGGGGGGACGCAGAGGAGATTTTGGGGGGTGAACGTGGCCAAAAGAGCCCTTGGTCGCCTGCGGGAGACGGTGAAGCGATTTGCTTCTTTGGCTCTTTTGTGAATTCTTTTTTTTGTTTTGTTTTGTTTTGTTTTTCAGCCAAAAACGATTAAATAAAAAAATGTGAGGTTTCGGCAGAAACAAAGCGAAGTGAAATAAAATTATTTTGTCAAAATCGTCACCTTGGTTTGTTCTTTGGAGCAATGGCTGCCGCGAGCCGGGCCGACACCAGCCGTGTGTTTGGAGGAGGAGATGCTGCGCACCCACCCGGACCCGACCTGCGCACACAGCTGCTCCTTTGGGGATTTTGCTTTGTGTTTTTCCCAGGAATCGCCATTTCCCAAAGGAATTTGTCCCCGAGGCCGAGCAGCGGGAGCAGGCAAGGCACGGGCTGTCGGGCTGATTTAGTTTGGGTTAATCTCAGTGTGAAGCTGCCTCTGTTCCACCCTGCCGAGCCCCCCATCTAGGGGCTTTCTTCGGGGTTTGCACACAGTGGGAATTGGCTGTGCGGGCTGACGTCTGTACCTCTGTCATTGTTGGTGTCTGTGTCGGCTGAAATAAAGCACAGTCCAGTGCAGCTCTTGTTGGTGTGTCTCTGCTCCTGTCCCCACGGCGTCCCTCCGGTGTCCCCAGAGCACAGCAGATAGCAGATGCTCTCTGTGATGCAACCCTTGCTCCGCAGCACGTGGCACAACCACACTGATACCTTTGGAGCGGCCGCATCGCATCTCTCAACAGCCCATCCCTTCCCGTGTGCCCACCGCTCCTCGCAGCTCCATCCCATCCTTATGTCCCCATCCCTCTGCCTTCACATCCTCTCCCCGTGTCCCCTTCCCTGCACCCTCAGCCCAGCGATGCACTCAAAGAACTTCACGCCATCACAACAGATCGCTTTCCTCTTTTTTTTTTTTTTTTTGTTTGTTTGCATCTATTCCTTTGGGTTTTTTTTGCTTCGGTTTCTCATCAATAAAAACGCCATCGCCACAAACGCGAGGAGGGACGGCCACCAGCACGGGGTCGGGGATGGGGTGTAGGGGACAAGGGAACTGGCAGCCTGCTCCCCACTGTTCGCCTATGTGCAGGGGGGAGCCGTGGCCCCACTGCGACCCTCCGGCATCCCCACACCAGCGCCCACTGCCCACCCCACGCGCCCATCCCTGACCGGGGCCGTCGCTCAGCACCCCGCAGCAGGGTCCCCGCTGTTCAGTTTGTGTACACCTGAGTCCCGATCACACGCATGATCTCCTTCTGGATTTTGGGGTCCTGAGTATTGATATTGGCGTCTCCCACTTGGCCGTCTTCGTACCTGGAGGGAAAAGCGTTAGCCGTGCCCACAGGGCGACCGTGAGCGCAGAGATGGGGTTGGCACTCACACAAAGAAGAAGCGGGTGCAGACGTGGTCCGAGACGGGGCAGACCCAGATGTTGCCGTGCTTCTGCAGGTCCTTGGAGGTGATGACTGCGGAGGAAAGGGGCGCCATGTGAGGGCTGTCACACCAACACACCCAACCCCGTCGCCCCCACGGCCCCGCACCTTCGCAAAGCGCGATGCAGTTCAGGTTACGGCTCTGGAGGAAGCGGGACTGGATGGAGCGGGTCTGTAGGGAGAGCAACTGGTGTCACCCCTGCCCGCTCCCAGCCCCAGCCCCGTGTCCCCGCCACATCACCTGGGGGATGGTGTTCATCCGGTTGTACCTCTGCACCAGCTCGTCCTTTGAAGGCATCCGGTGCTGCCCTTTCCCCATCCCTGCAGACAATGACACAGCAGTCATTCCCGGCACCGTGGGCTGGGGACACGGCTGCCAATGGGCAGCAGCACCCCAGGCTGACGCAGGGTGACGGTGGTGAGGACATGTGTCACAGACACCCCTGGGATAGCCACACCAGGAGCTCCATCCTGCAGGCAAACCCAAACCCCCACAGTGGGGGCAGTGCCTTTTGGAGTCGGCACAAGGAAGAAGCAGCTGTCGTGTCACCTTAAAGTCATTTTTTCAGCCTAGGAAATGCCCATTCTCTGTTCTTTTTCCCTTAATAACCGAACGGGTGCGTCAGAATGCCCCGATTTGCTGGGGAGAGGACGATGAGGGAGAAGGATGCAGGATGTGGCTGGGACACCTCAGTATCCCGATGCCACGCGGCTCCTCCGTGCCATGCAGGGAGCGGGATGGGAGCACAGGTGGGACCAGCGGAGCGGGCAGCCTCTTACCTGAGTATCCAAAGGAAATACTGGAGATGGGGCTCAGATAGATGCCCTTGCCATAGGCTGCTCCATGCAGCTTGCAGGAAAACACCGGGGTGAGCAACGCGGCACCCACGGCAGCGTGGGCACGAGGCACGGCCACAGCACCCCTGGGGCTGCCCACATCCCTCCCCACCTGCCGGGATCCGGAACCGGCATCGGCAAGCGGTACCTGCAGCTTGGTGTAGGACGCGTTGACCAGCCCGTTGCGCAGGATGGAGTGCCAGTTCTCAATGTGAGAGCCACTGCAAGAGCCGGCGTCAGCCCCACGGCGCCCGGCCCTGCAGCGCCCCATAGGGATCCCGCAGACCCCCACCGCCCCGCAGCTGCTCACTGGAAAGCGAAAGTGCTGCCGTAGAGCTTCTTGGCGGTGCGGAACCGGGCCTCCTTGGCTGGGGGGCTGCTCAGCAGGAGGAACTGGTGCGAGGTGTGCATGAACTTCAGCTGCTACCAGTGGAAAGGGCAGAGCAAAGGCAGCGCCGACGAGGAGAGAGGAGAGACAGACGGACGCAGATCATGCACGGCAGCCCCCAGCCCTGCGCCCACCTCAGCGCTTTTCAGACGCTTGGCCATGGCAGGAGGGCCAGGATTTCTAGGAGCTCACCCACTGCTTCCTGCAGCATCCTGTTTTGTGTCCCAATACTGCATCCCACAGTGCACACCCCACGTCCTTCATCCCTTATCCCACAACCCGCATCCCATGCCCTCAGACCTCCATTCCATACCCGTACATCTACATCCCTCCTCCAGCTTCCCATATTCCATCCACATCCTCCATCCCACATCCTGCATCCTCCATCTCACACGGTGGCTGCACAACCTGTAGCTACACCCATACTGCACATCCCACCCCCTGTACCTTACACCCCACACCTTACATTGCACAGCTCACACCCACACAGCTCTGGCCATGTCACTTACCCTGCTGAGGGGCAGCTTGACAATGTGGGATCTGTTGCTGGAGATGATCCTGTGGGAGCAGGATAGAAGGAAGATGAGATAGAGCGGTCCCACCTGAGTCCCACTAGTCCCTAAACACTTTTGACTCCATACCATCCCATCACATCACATCCCATCCCACTGCATCTCATCCCATTGCATCACAGCGCAATCCATCCTCACACTACTGCGTTCATTTTTGGACACCTCACTGTTAGAAAGACATTAAGGCCCTGCATGTTAAGAGAAGGGCAACGGAGCTGTGAGGGGTCTGGAGTGCAAGTGTTATGGGGAGCAGCTGAGGGAGCTGGGAGGGATCAGCCTGAAGAAGAGGAGAGGCTCAGGACAGACCTTATTGTTCCCTACAATTCCCTCACAGGAGGCTGTGGCAAAGTGGGGGTTGGTCTCTGCTCCCAGGTAACAGCAATAGAATGAGAGGAAATGGCCTCAAGTTGTGCCAGGAGAGGTTCAGTTTGGATATTAGGAAAAACTTCTTCTCAGAAAGTGGTCAGGCACTGAAACAGGCAGCCCAGGAAGGTGGTGGAGTCACCAACCCTGGAGGTGTTCAAGAACTCTGGACATATGGCATTGAGGGACATGGTCAGTGGGCATGGTGGGGATGGGTTGATGATTGGACTAGATGATCTTAGCAAACTCTTCCAACCTTAATGATTCTTTGATTCTGTTGTTGTATCCCATCCCACTCCACTCCACCACATTTCACTCCATCGCATCCCACCCCATCCCACCCCATCCCACCCCACCCCATCCCATCCCACCCCATCCCATCCCATCC